TATAAGAGACAGGTCAAGTTCCCTTTTGCAGACAGCGGTTTCAGTGCTGCAGAGCTCCTACTTGGACTCTACATCTCAGGACGGTTTTCAGTACAGCCAAGCAATTCTAGTGGAAAACGATGTTTTTCTAAGTGAGGTAAGGCCAGTGGGGGAGCAGGGTGTTGCTGGCAGCTCGGAAAAGGGTGGCATTTCTTTGGGAGCTGCAGAGGTCTGGAAGTGCTGGCTTATTGGCAGGTCTGTCTTTCCTTTGCAACATGTGGCTGATCTGCCTGCCTCCTAGAGCCCTGTTTGCAGCTCCTGACTGAAGGGAGCCTTTTCTTTGCTTTCTTGCACTTCCACCTTCGCAATCTGATCAGGAACAAAAGGTCCATTCAGCCAATGTTGCCAAACATTCAACAGCAGTTCCTGGAGTGGGCCTTTGGGGAAGGTTGAAATCCTGATTTGATACCTAGCAGGAGAATTTTAACATTATTGCACTTCTGCTGATTCACAGCAAGGCAGATTTCCCTGTGGTATTTCTTCTGTTTGCCCTCACACCTGTGTAGGCACCAGTTTTAATCCCATTTCCCTTTCTGCAGCTGCCTGGGGCATGTATGGAACCACTTTTTAAATGCCTCTGTCCCTACACTCCTGCTGTCATTGGTGGGGAAGGGAGGCAGTCTTCTCTGGGCACTGGAGCTGACCAGTCTGCTTGTTGTCATGAATTAAATAGAGTTTAGATATTTTGGCTGCCTAAACCTGGGATTGTCCCTGTGGAGCTGGATAAAATCTGGGATAGCAGATATCAAGTCCTTCTTTGATTTGCCTGTGAGGTCTAAAGCCAAAATAAGCAAAAGCAGTGATGAGATTGTTGTTTTCTTATATTCTAACCCTGTTTATAAAATCCCATCCTTCCACAACTTCTTTTATTAAAGCCCCAAAACATCATGGACTCAGATCCAGCTCCGTTTGCCCCCATGATGTTCTCCCTGTCTGCACTGAGATCATGGTCTGCTTTAATTATCAGACAAAAGAAATTGGAGTAATGTGTTCTTAGGCTGTAGCCAAACCCTCTGAGCTGTAGCCACATGGTAGCACCTGCCCTCTAATCAAATAGTCCAGGCTTCCCTGGTCAGTGGAGAGAAGAAAAGAGATGCCTCCAAATATCTCCTCTTCTCTAGGCAACTTCTCCATGGCCGAGATGATTTGTCTTCTGATGGCTATAGCTGGCTACTAAATGTGATGTTCCACCAGCCCACGTTCTGCTCAGTGAAACAAGCTCCCTGGTAGCCAGTGATGTGTGCCAAGAGGGACAAGTTGGGATAAGGCTAGACTTGCCGGGGATGAGCACGATGTGACACTGCTGTCCCTTGGAGGACATTAAACATGTTCTGCTGGGGACAAACGGATGGACAGATCTGTGGATGGGGGGCCTTGTGGGGGGAGACTGTGTGGGCACAGGAGCTTGTCCAGCATCACCTGGCTGCTGCCAGCTGCCCCACACTGACCACAACTGGAGGTACTGGGACATGTTGTTCTCACACATGAACACATGTCACTTGGCTCTGACATAACCGGACTAGAACAAGGTGTTGTTGTGTCTTCTGCAGCTCAAAGCTTTTGCCCAAGCCAAGGAAGCTGCCGGGTACAGCCAGGAGGAGCTGGAGGAGACCTTTGCGTTTCTCCTGTTTGATAATGAAGCAGAGGTAACCTGAAATGTTTATTCAGTTTAAGAAGTTGGATTCCAAGTGCCTGCACATGTGCTGTGTCCCACCAAAGCCCAGCAGATCTGTTGACTGAAGTGTTCTGGCTCTCTGTACCCCAGTTACCAGTGCAAATACTACTGTATAAATAGTCTAGAGCAAGTTCTGAAAGCAGCTCCTGGGAGGTTTTAGCAATGAATCTTATTTTGCATCTCTCCAGTCAATTACTGTTTGAGATTTGGCTGCCTCCTTTGCCCTCTGTAGGGAGATGGAAGGAGTCTCCATTTGTCCCAATGGATTTATGGTCAAGTACAGGCAGATGGAACCTTTCCTGTATGCTTAGAGCAGAAAAGTGCTTTTGTGACAGGAGTTTATCAGGTGGTTTTGGGCAAGTTCCCTTGGTTTTGCCAGCTAGGTGGAGAGAGAGCCTGACACAGCTATTTGGAAAGTTTTTCTTGCCTGTTTTTCACAAGGACGCTTTTGATTTTCTGAAAAGACAAACTTCACAAGGATGCTCAGGGAATTCACTTTTAATGTGATTTAATGATGATGCCATGCTAAACCACGGTAGAGGTGGTTTTGTTCAGAATGAGAGCGGCCTGAATGCAGTTTAGTTCTGTTCAGTTTGGATTGAGCTACAGCAAAATAAACCACTTTCAGTCTCAGTTTGGGAGTGGGAATTGTCCCACTTTGTTTTGACTGTTTGAAATTTAGCACAGGCTGTGACAATCAAATGACAGTCAAATGACAACCAAATGACAGCTCCTTGTACAGACCCTAGGAAAGAGGGAGCTCTTCAGAGGACAGTTTGACCTCGTTTAACACAGGCATAGAAAATCCTTGGGCTGAATCACTCTGGAGGTGCCTCTCTGTTGTTCAGAGAAGTCTAGCTGGCCGGTCTAAGCTAGACACTTGGCCATTTAGGAGGCAGAAGTTCAGTGTGAGGAGAGCCCCAGGTTGCTTATAAAGGAATTGACTACAGTTTGACTTGTTTGCTTTTATTTCTCACCCGTAATGAGTTCAAGCTGCTCCTCTTGTCACTCGTTGGTCAATATAAATTGGATTTGCACACTTTGAAGAATCTGCTTTGGATGTGGATTAAATCAGAGCCAGTGAGAATGCTCCCAAGGTAGTAGTTGTGTCTGTGGAGGAGTGAGCACAGAGTAGCAAATGCCCTTTGCCTTCATGCCAGCCCTGTTGCATTTATTTTTCCACAAATTGCTCACTCAGATAAAGAAAGTGCAAAGTCCAGCCCTGTGCTTGCAGTGATTTCTGGAGATGCTGGATTTTTTCCATTTTTTTCCAAGCTTTTGCTTATGCAGAGGTTTTTATAACAGCACATGCTAAATACAAGTATTTAGTATCCAAACCAACAAATTTTCTTCCTCTGGACACTGTGTTTAGTTTTCATTATACCTCAGGTGTTTTGGGACTGTAACCAGCAGGTGTTTGCCTGTCGCAAGTATTTTACAAACTATTGTGCTACGGATTTCAGTAGCTGTGTCCCTTGTTTTTGAAAATAGATGGTAAAAGAGGCTGTCTTTTCTTTTGAAGGCAAGAGAGGTGTGTCAGACAGGCCTCCGTGTAAACAGCAGTTCTATTTCCACGCTTGGTGACCCAGCAAAAGGTAAGATTTCCATTTAGAGGAGCAAGAGACCTCTTCACAGGATATCGCTCCTTTTAAAAACAAAAGCAAAAGCCCAGACAAACTCCTGGTGCTGCCTTGTTACTGCAAAGATCCATGGAAACTCCTGTATTTCTTAAATGGGAAACTACATTTATTTGGATCAAGCAAGCAGCAGTGTTCTGGCTTCTAGCCCCTCAACCAGATGAGGATGGGATCTTCCCCACGGAATGTTATCGTCTCTTCATCTCTCCATTTCAGGCTTTTTTTTTTTTTTTTT